GATTTTACAGGAAAGTGGATGCTTCCCATTTGGGACTCTTCTAGACTCTTCCCTATACATCTCTTCTTTTGTGTGATTTTAATGTGTTATCTTTCACCCATAATACACTGTAACTGTGAGTACAATAGCTTTCAGTGAGTTTTTTGAGTCTTAGCAAATTATCAAGCCTGAAGTTGGTTTTGGGAAGCTCTTGAACTTGCAGTTGATGGCAGAAATGAGGGCAGTCTTGAAGAGTATGTATACCTGTAAATTTTGTAGTTTAACTAACTCTGGGTAGAGCTAAACTATCTTTTATAAAGGGAACAAATAATTTACTCTCCTTTTAGAATAAGAACTCTAGTTGATCATTTGCTAGTACACATTTTTACAATTAGATTCCCAAAATATGATTTATTTAAAAGGACAAGATGCAACAAAATAACAGTAATACAGAGTTTAAGAATAAGAATGAGGCTGGAGAATAGGGTCTGGAGGCAGGGAACCTAAGGCCGTTTTGCACTGACTTCCTAGAACTAAATTGAAAGGAAAACCCTAACTTTCTATGCCTAAGTAACAAAATGACCAGAGGCTACTCCCTTTGCAAACCCCTACCTTTTCTGCCGGCAGATGAGAAATTCAAAGTACCTCTGATTGGTTGGTTTTTGCAATTAATCAGACGTTTGCACAGGAGCGTAACTTTGTAACTTCACTTCAGCCTCTGATCGGTTGCTGTCCACAACCAATCAGACTGACTGTGGGCCAAACCTTCATTTGCATAGAAACGCAGTTTTGTAACTTTACTTTATCCTCCCATTGGTTGCTTTCCACAACCAATCAGATGTTTGCTAGGAATGTGACCTTTGTAACTTCACTTCAGTCTCTGATTGGTTGCAGAAAGCAACCAATCAGACTGATTGCAGGCCACCACTTCATTTAAATGGGGTGAACACCAATTGGCCAATGGGAAACCTCTAGGGGGTATTCGGACCTGAGAAGATTCTGTATCCAGGTCCTTGAGCGGCTGCTCAGGCCCATTCCCACTCTGTGGAGTATGCTTTCATTTTCAATAAATCTCTGCTTTTCTTGCTTCATTCTTTCCTTGCTTTGTATGTTTTGTCCAATTCTTTGTTCACCGATAACAAGAGTATATAATAATTGTCAGAGAATTGGTTTGCTAAACGCCTTCAAATGCCTTTACCGAAGAAAGCAATTAATACATACTGAAACTAGTTACATGTGTTATCTCCTCTTCTAGATTCAGAGCATCCTGCTGGCAAAATCTTACATTTTTTACACCAATATTATCTAGGTTTTGCTTAGGCTTTGATGGATAGCAGATATTCAATACTTTTTAAAAAATTTTTTATTGATACATAAATTTGTATATTTTTATGGAGTACATGTGATACTTTGTTACATGCATGGAATGTGTAATGATCAAGTCAGGGTATTCAGGGAGTCCATCATCTTGAGTATTATTTCTTTTCTTTTCTTTTCTTTTTTTGAGACAGAGTTTTGCTCTTGTTGCCCTGGCTGGAGTGCAATGGCATGATCTCAGCTCACTGCAACCTCTGCCACCGGGTTCAAACAGTTCTACTGCCTCAGCCTCCCAAGTTGGTGGGATTACAGGCATGTACCACCATGACCAGCTAATTTTGTATTTTTAGTAGAGACAGGTTTTCTCTATATTGCTCAGGCTGGTCTCAAACTCCCAACCTCAGGTGATCCGCCTGCCTCGGCCTGCCAAAGTTCTGGGATTACAGGTATGAGCCACCGCGCCCAGCCACCTTGAGTATCATTTCAATGTGTTGATAGCATTTCAAGTCCTCTCTTCTAGCTATTTTGAAATATACAATACAGTGTTGGTAAATGTAGTCACCCTACTCTACTATCAAACATTAGAACTTATTTCTTCAATTGACATAGTTGTACCCATTAACCAACCTCTCTTCATCCTCCCACTCCCTACCCTGACATACACACACCCTTCCCAGTCTTTGGCAACTATCGTTCTTCTCTTTACCTCCATGAGATCAACTTTTTTAGCTCGGGTGTGAGAACATGGGATATTTGTCTTTCTGTGCCTGGTTTATTTCACTTAACATAATGAGTAGGCACTCAATATTGGTATAATACCAAATGCAATTTGAGGAGTTTCAGAAAGGTCTCTCAAAGACCTCTGTCACTCTCAAAGTGACAAAGGTATTCTCCGGTGACCTGTCAAAGAGTTAAAGGTTCACCATTCACTTAATTTTCTTCCCTCAATATTCCTGAAAGTCCAATGGCAGTAAGCAAAATCTCTAGAAATAATACACAGCATTTTAACAGTAGATTCATTTAGATAATCAGATTATTTTCTAATTATCAGCTTAAAAATTCTGAAATGTAGTATGAACCAGACATGTCTTAATTAAAAAAAAAAGAGAGAGAGAGAAAAAGCTAGATCTACAGTTGGGTAAACTAAGAAATTTCGTGAAGGATAGGTGGATGGGTTCTTCAGGCTGAGGAAGTAAGATACTGGATAGAAATGTAATAACATAAAAGCAATGAATACCAAAAGAGGAAAGAAACATACACTAAACAGAGATAATGTAGAAAATTGAAGACAACCATCAATTTGGCAATTTTAAGACCTACTTTCATGAAATCAATTCTGTAATATAAAACAATCTCGCTCATGAAATTAATTATTTCATATAATACAATCAATGCAAGAGTCCTAGTGTTACAGTTTCACTAGTGCACAGCCTTTTATAATGTCCACATTATACAAACAAACTCAATAAATGGCACAGGGTTAAAACTGTTTAAAACTTCACTGTTATCCCAGTGAAGTAGGAGGATTATTTGAGACCAGGAGTTCAAAACCAGTCTGGGCAACTTACATAACAAGAACCCGTCTTAAAAAACAAAAAAACAAAACAAAACAAAACAAAAAACAGTTAAAAAAATTAGCTGGGTGTGGTGGTGCACACCTGAAATCTAAGCTACTTGAAAGGCTGAGGCAGGAGGACCACTTGGGCTCAGGAGTTTAAGGCTGCAATGAGCTATGATATTGCCACTGCATTATAGCCTGGGTGGCAGTGCAACATCCTATCTCTTACAAAAAAAAAAAAAAAAAAGAAAGCCAAATTCTAACATTTTTGCACGTCTGTTTTGTCATTATATATTCCTCCTCATTTCTCCACAGAATTTTTAAGATGTATTACCTATTTTTGTGATTTTTAAAATTTGATTTCAATGTAAACAAAAAATTACCCAGTTGTGGTGGCATGTACCTGTAGTCCTAGCTACTTGGGAGGCTGAGGTGGCAGAATCACCTGAACATAGGAGATTGATGCTGCAGTGAACCATGATCATGATAGTGCACTCTAGCCTAGGCAACGGCAGTGAGATCCTGTCTTAAAGAAAATAAAAACAAATAGGTCGGGTGCAGTGGCTCATGCCTGTAATCCCAGCACTTTGGGACGGTGAGGTGGATGGATCAGGAGGTCGGGAGATCGAGACCATCCTGGCTAACACGGTGAAACCCCCTCTCTACTAAAACTAGAAAAAATTAGCCAAGAATGGTGGCACGTGCGTGTAGTCCCAGCTACTTGGGAGGCTGAGGCAGGAGAATCGCTTGAACCTGGGAGGCGGAGGTTGCAGTAAGTGGAGATCACGCCACTGCACTCCAGCCTGGGTGACAGAGTGAGACTCCTTCTTAAAAAACAAAAAACAAACAAAAAAAATCAAAAATAAGAAATTAACTATTTTATGTCAATGCAACTTATCACAGAACAATTTTTAAAATATATTTTAAAAATAAAGTAGAAATATATTTATTTTATTTTAATTTAAATTTTTTAGAGCAGGCTCTCACTCTGTAGCCCAGGCTGTAGTCCAATTGCATGATCATGGCTCACTGCATCCTGAACCTCCTGAGTTCAAGCAATCCTCCTACCTTCCAGCCTCCTGAGTAGCTAGGACTGTAGGTACACATCACCTCTCCTGGCTTAAAGACGAAATGTTAATGTTCAATGTATACACACAATTTTAGGACAATTGTTTAAAGAGGTCAAGAAGCCAGCTTTGATAATTTCTAAGCCATTTCTATTGGTATCAGAAAAGAAAATGCCAGATAAGCAATGTATTTTTATCAAAATGTATCCTTTGATAAAGGTTAAGTGAGCATCCATGCACAGATCAAGTTAAATATTATAACTTTTTATGTGTATGTTAAAAAACATAACTGTTTAAGTCACTATTGTAAATATATTTTTGTTCATGCAAAAATATATTTCACATTACTTACAGATCAAAAGTTTTAACTTCAATTGTTTTAGAAGGAGACAAAGAAAATAAACATAATGCATGTACGTATTTGTGTTATGGTCTTATTTGATGATATATCTGCCTGGGACCTAGGTCTGAAATTTGTAAATAACTTTTTAAATGTTCATCCTTAACTGACTATTATCTTTCATTTCTATTTCAGAGAATTCTACATTTAACTTCTAGTATCTAGTTAGCTAACTAATCCTAAATATTAGCAGTAAAGGATGAGCAAAAAAGTAGTACTTAACATATGACTTTAAGATTCTAAAATATAAAGTCATGAATGAGAAAAGTTAAACTCCAAATGATCTACTTTAGGTTCAATATAGTTTTTAAAACAAGAATACTTCAGACTGATTAATTTAATAAATCCCATGGGATTAGTTCCTATATAATAAAAAATAATTTTTAAAACTATTGTCTTAAAGTAAAACATATACTCTATAGAATAACGGTGAAAATACATATGAAAGCAACGTAAGGCACTAGGGAAGCAGATAAAAGATTAATCACATTATAAAGATGGGAAAAGGAGAACAGGAGAAGTAATTTTTTTAATAATACTAAAGGGAGATTTGGGGAGAGAGAGAGAGAACCAGACAAAAAAGAATGAATTTTATGAAGTTCCTGGAATAAGTTCAAAATGCAAGGATTTTTGCCATTTTTAAAGGTACATAGCTGCCTTACAGACGTAAATAAATTACCTCATTTTCGGTTCCCACATCCAGAATGACAGGCAGACATTTTTGAGGATTCATCCCTCCGCAAGCTGTATATAGAGCCAATTTACCCACAGGGATGCCCATGCCATTACAGCCAAGGTCTCCCAAGCCAAGAATACGCTCTCCATCAGTCACCACAATGGCCTAGAAGAAAAAGAAAAATTACCTATTAACAGGTTTTCACAAATCCTGAGACACAATTTCTGACTCTACTTCTGAAGTAACTACTAGTGAAATATTAAGCTGTTAAAAAAACATAAATTGAATATATATGAAAAAGATTTTATAAATTGTAATTGTGGAAGAATAAGGTGAAGAAATGAACTTGATTTATAAATATGCTTAATTAGGTTATTGAAAAAAGAAGGGCATGTGTGCACATAAAGATTCAAACATACCAAATAACTTAAGTTTTCAATCAAGAGGAGCAAGTAGGTAAAGCATAAGGAAATAAGAGCTCACACCAGGAACCAAAAGAAGGTGGTTTTGAGCAAGAGTGTCCTTAGTAAATTACTGCATAGTTACTGAAGAGATTGAGGAGGTTACACCTCTGCCCTAAATGCTCTGATCTTTAGTTTATGCATCCTGGTACTATCCTCCTATTTTTACAACAATCTGACCCATTCTCCTTAACTCCTATAATCACTTGATATCTTTGAAACATGTCCAGTACAGTCTGCTACTTCTCTTACCTGAACATTTTCCACTAGATTTAATGAATTTTGTCTGCTTCCTCCCTCCCTCCCTCCCTCCTTCTTTCTTTTTCTTTTTCTTTTTCTTTTTTCCAAGACAGAGTCTTGCTCTGTCGCCCAGGCTGGAGAGGAGTGGCGCGATCTCAGCTCACTGCAACCTCTGCCGCCCAGGTTCAGGCAATTCTCCTGTCTCAGCCTCCCGAGTAGCTGGCATTACAGGCACTCACCACCATGCCCAGCTAATTTTTGTATTTGCAGTAGAGACAGGGTTTCACTGTGTTGGCCAGGCTGGTCTCAAACTCCTGACCTCGTGATCCACCCGTCCCAGTCTCCCAGAGTGCTGGGATTATAGGCATGTGTCACCACCGCGCCCAGCCTGCTTAGTTTATTTCTAATTAACTTGAATATTTATGAAGCATATACTTTAATCATGTGGAGATTTTAATTCGATGTAATTTGATATCATTATTGAACATCTTTGTGATCATGTCAATTATATGAATTTAAACAAAACCAATCTGATATCATTATTGAATATCTTTCTGATTCATGTCAATTATATGAATTTAAACAAAACCAATCTTATGAAACACAATTTATTAGTCTACAAACTGCTACACTCATCATATTCAGAGAAATGTGGGAAAATGTCAGTTATTTGGCCTTGGGTGAATTTTAAGCTTCTGTTTCTTATTGGTAAATTGGGAGTAATAAATGTACTTTTCTGAGTAGCTGTATAAAATTGGGAACTGGGTCTTTTTGCTTACCACTGTACATCAGCACCTAGTACGGCATTTGGCACACAGTAAACAATCAACAAATATTAGTAAATTGAATAAAACTATGATTACATAAAATGAAATCATGATATATAAAGAACTTACCACAGTACCTGGTACATTACAAATTCTTAAAAATTTATAACTATTATTACTATTATTTCATCAGAGCTAATTATAAAGTCATAGCATTTTAGAAGTAAAGAGAAATCTAAAGTATATTCCATCTATTCCTCTTATTTTATAAATTAGGAAACTGAAAAATCAGAGAACTGAAATAATTTTGCTAAGGTGATTTACTTGGTTAATGTCAAAGAACCAGAAACCCACATATGTTAATTCCTAGTACAGTGCTCTTTTCACCATACCACATTGCAGAATATATTTTAAAATATATTTCTAAGATATTTTATTTAATTTCCTGTTCACCTATATTATTCAGCTCTTGCAAAACTATCTTAAAAGCAAATACATTTGGGAGGTAGGTGAAAATCATTTTTGCATATTCTATACATTTGTCTTTGGAAGATTTTTCATGTCAAATAGCAATGGATCAATATGTGATGCTCTTTTGGAGGAAGCAATCCGATACTACTGAGTTAACTTAGCCCTGATTTAAGGTAAAAAAGATAAATACTGCAGAGAACTATAACTTTGTTTTTTAAATTAAATTAAGGCCAAATTTTCAAAGTCCTAATACTTCTAAAGTGTATTTAACAGTTTTATTTATTGCATTACCACAAATAGAGGTACTTTTACATATCATTGATAATATATAACTTTTATGAATGTGATCTTTACATAGGTAAAGTCCATTTGGCCTGCCTATACTTACAAATATTTTTAATGATATGTTTTATAAGAAAAGTAATATTGTCATTTAGCTTAGTTAGCTTAGTCATTTAGCTTAGCTTAGTTATGACCTGAATAATAATTTATAAAATGCTTTCCAAATTTCATCGAAAGTGCTTAAACACAGAGAGGTGTTATTCGGTTTCAAAATTCTTAAAAAGGAATTTCAAGTGGCATACCTTTTCACTTATTTTTGATAGCTCATCTATGTTAAACTAAATATATGTCTTGAATATGAAAAAAAAAAAAAAAAAAGCAGTCCACTTGCAGTAGCTCACGCTTGTAACCCCAGCACACTTTGGGAGGCTGAGGCAGGCGGATCACCTGAGGTCAGGAGTTCAAGACCAGCCTGACCAACATGGTGAAACCCCGTTTCTACTAAAAATACAAAAATTAGCCGGGTGTGGTGGTGAGTAGCCTCCCAGCTACTTGGGAGGCTGAGGCAGAAGAATTGCTTGAACCTGCAAGGCAGAGGTTGCAGTGAGCAGAGATTGCACCATTGCATTCCAGCCTAGGCAAAAAGAGTGAAACTGTCTCAAAAAGAAAAAAAAAAAGTTCATTATTTCTTATTTCTTCATAACTTTTATTCCCTAAGTTCTTCTCTCAGAGTTATTTATATTATTTAATTATATACATATACATGAACATTTATATGTGTAGTAGTTTGAGAAGTTTTTAAAATATGTTTTGAGACATTTGATATTTATGCTTTATTACAAATGTACATTTATGGCATTAATTCATAAATACTTCCATATAAAAGAGTAGATTTTAACAGTAAAACAATTCTCTCGAAGAAAAAAAGTTTTGTCACTTAAGTAGTTTATCACTAAATTAATATTCTCTTGCTTTTTTTTTTAACCTACTTTATCTCCTGCTTCAGAAAAATGAAGCAGTTGGATGTTTTCTATACAATCATTAAGTCACAACTGCAGGATTAATGTCAGTAAGACAACTACAATTCTATCAGTGATGTCCATTTCTCAGAAATTAAATCTTCACCACACTATACAAATTATTATCTAGGCATTACCTGAATAGAAACTTCTGTATGAAATATGCAGATTTCTGCTGAACACACAAAGATACTCTCCATGTGTCCTGTCTTCATCCCTTCATTTAATTTCCCAAGGCCCATCCTCTTGTAGCCTACCTAAATGCAGAAGCTTTGCATCTTTTCCTGCTTTCCTGAAACTACTCTAAAATCTGTTTCCAGTGAACCTTGTTCAAATATTACTAATACAAAGTGATTTCCTTGTTAAATATGACATTCTATTTGTCCAAATCTAAATCTTTTTCTGAATTTCAAAACCTTTTATAATTTGATTACCCCTTAAACAATCTTAATTCCACTATATTCCAATATTAATTCAGCTTTAGTCAGGCCAGTGAATTTTCTTATTGTCTAAAAACACCCCATTCTCTTACTGAACTTGATACCTACATTCATCTGTTCCCTTCTTAGAATAGTATGTTTTTCCCTTTCTAACTATCAAAGGTTGGATTTAAGTTCTGACTTTGCTATAAAAGTTTTCTTAACTATTCCAGCCTTCTCTAAATAATAATATCCTCAGAATGAATAAATAAGGCACTTATAATACCACATAGTTTGATTATATTTTGCCTAATAATTGACTTTATTTCATGGGTACTTTCAAGTATATAGTGAGAGACCATATAAGATGTACTTATCTATCTTCAGCATTCTTTTACAGTCAATAGCTGCCATTTACTAAGTACCTACTATGTACCAGGCACCACACTAAGACTTTTAAATAAAAGAGGGCATAGTTAGGGATAAGAACATCAGTAAGGGCCCAATATTAAGAGTCCAAAGGATAAAAGTAGCCTATGAATAAAGTTAAAGATGTAGAGATCAGCTAGTTGGAAAAACAAGAAACATGGTGTGATAGCTTTCTGCCTAGCTGTTACGATTACAGGGATATTGACTAGAACTCTCTACTGCAGAACTATTTCCTATATTGACTTGTTAATTCTTTTTTGTTTTTTGTTTTTTTTTTCTGAGACAGGGTCTCAATCTGTTGCCCAGGCTAGAGTGTAGTGGTGTGATCATAGCCCATTGCAGAATCGAACTCCTGGGTTCAAGTGATCCTCCTACCTCAGCCTCCCAAGTAACTGAGACTACAGGCATGCACCACCATTCCAGCTAATTTTTAAATTTTTTCTAGAAATGGAGTCTCACTATGTTGCCCAGGCTGGTCTCAAACTCCTGAGCTCAAGCAATCTTCCCACCCACCTCGGCCTCCCAAAGTGTTGGGATCACAGGCCTGAGCCACCACTTCTAGCCAACTTGTTAATTCTTTAAATCTCCTTTAGATCCTGATTAAAAGTAAACATCCTTAGGTGACCAGACATTTATGCTTTATAGAATTAAGATGTTTCTTAGGGTAGTTTCTAAGACCAGAATCTGGATAACATGGTCTTGTTGATAGCAGAAAAGCTGAGGAAGCAACTTAGGTGGAGAAAGCAAAAAAAAAAAAAAAAAAAAAAAAGGAAAGAAAGAAAATTGAGGACATTGGAAATAATAAAAACCACTTTAATTTACAAGTTTTCCTAGCATGAGCCCTACAGAACCAAATTAATCAATTATAGCCACAATATCTCAAATAGGAAAGATCACCCAGGCATGGTAGCTCACACCTATAGTTTCAATACTTTGGGAAGCTCAGGCAGGAGGACTGCTTGAGGTCAGAAGTTCAAGACCAGACTGAGCAACACAGTGGGACTTTGTCTCAAAAAAAATTAAAATAATTTTAAAAAGATCATTAGTGGACTTACATTCAGAAGTTATACCTGAAGTGCCTTTGTACCACCAAAAGGCATTGATTTATTCCATCCTGGTACTAAAAGATACCACAAAGTTGCTAGGCACTCAACAGAAAGGAAAGCGGGAACCAAAGGGAGAACAAACACTTCTCAACTCCCTTAGACAAGGAAGATGACATAGCCCTGTGTCTAAGAACAGCGACTCAGAGGCCAGCTCTGGGGCCTGTAAGGAGTTCCCACCACTATCTTAGGCTACTTTGTAACCCATCTGTGCCTTTCTTTCCTCAATCAATTATTATTATTATAAGAGCTAATCCATGTAAAAAGTCTCATTCGGAATGCTACCAAATGTCAGGTACTATTATTACTTTTATTTTCATTAGCTCACTTACAGAGGGAAGTCAAATGAGCTACTTAAGGTCATAATAATAAAAGAAATGAATTAACAGACTTTTTTTCTTGCCTACTTGGATTCCTCCTAGTGGATAATTAAACACAACAGATAGAATTTAAGGGTTTGCTTAAAGAAATTCAGATGCTCTCACATATTCAACATTTATCATTACTTAGAATGGAGGTACTAAGAAATTAGAAATAATAGGAAAACTTAGTATCTAAATGGCATCAGAATAAAATTAACCCACTATGTAAAAATCAAAGGGATATAAATTAGGTGATATTCACTAGAAAAGCTAATGAATGCTACCTATTATCATGAGAATTCTCAGTATGTTTTAAACCGGTTTATGGGACAGAAAAAAGAAAAAATTTGCCATAATGGAAAAACATGATAACTTACCTTGATGACATCTTCTGGCCATGCATTGAGAACCGAAGCAATATGCCCTCGATCGTGGATACTAATAAAGAGACCTCTGGCAGAAAAAAAAAAAAAAAAAAAAAGGAGTAGTTTACATTTACTTCAGGCCTGTCAAACTATCATGAATATCTTAAACATTTTCTCAAACAGCAATTTAATATATCTCAATTTTTATCAAACTGGTGAACATTATTTCCTTAAATAAGGGGCAGGAACTCTTATAAGTAAGGGAAAAATTACTTGAAATAATATATTGACATCTACAGTAAAGGGAAGTTTGTTTTCTTAGATATTTTAAAATTTTTTAAATTAATAAACATTCACTATTTTTATGTACAGAGAATTTAGATAGCATTATCAGTTCCACTCACAAATTCATTTAGAATCTGTCATGATATAATATACATAAAAGCACTTTGAAAAGCAACATGAAGCATCTGTAAACAGGCATTTTCAATGTATATTCCACTTAATCCATTTTCAACACGAAGATGAGAACATGTGTTAGAGATGGCTGAAGTGACCGACTAATGCTGAGCAGCTCTTTCATGTAGAGCTCACTTGATTTCTTTGATTTGTGATCTTAGTTGCCGTTTGCAACTCTGTTATTTATTCTCAAGTCTTTAACACTGTTTGTCCCTCCCATTTCCTACAAAAGCTTAACAAGTAACTTCACAAATTAAATTAATAGAATTTAAAATATGTAAATGCCTTATCCTCATTTAAAAGTTTTGCTCTAGTATTGTTAAATATAACTCAGATATAAAGAACCACATACAGCTTAACGAATTGTTATAAGACAACCACCTTTCTACATAATATTCATTTAAACAGAATCTTGCCAGCTACCCAAAACCTATCCACATGTTTTCTCCCACTCTTCCTTTCTAAGTGTAACCACTATCCTCACTTTTATGGTATCACTTCCTTTATAGTTAATGTATTGTTTTATATCACCAAATCATAAACCTTCCGTAGGCACTATTGTTTAATTTGGTAGAGTTTCCCTTAATATGGATTTGGCTAATTAAATCCCTACCATATAGATTAACAGGTTAATCTTTCTTCTGTATTCTTGGAAAATTGGTAATAGAAAATTGAATCTAGAAGCATAATCAGATTCATGTTCAATTTTTTTGGACAAGACATTTCATGGTTTGATGTTATCAGAAGGCACACCATATTTGGTATTCCTTTTTGTGATGTTAGTAGCTTATTTTGCTAAATGTCTAAGTTCATGAATTAATCTGGAATTACAAAATGGTGATGTTCCAATTATATCATTCATTATTTATTTACTGGAACACCCCTTTAAAAAGAAATTTCACCACATCTATGGGTATCCAAGGACATGGCTGATATAGAAAAAGAAAAAATGCTCGATTTTCTTTATCAGTTTTTAAATTAAAAAGCTGGTTAACTAGATTTCTGCAGAAGTTTCCACTTAGTTGTTGTTGTGTGTATGGTTTTGTTGTTGGTTTTTTTTTTTTTTTTTTTTGATCAATTTGAACTCATGGATTTAAACATATTTGATGTGTTTCAATCCATTATAGTTATTTTCCTTATTGATATTCATATTATTTCATCTTGAGCAAGTGAAAGACTCTTCATGCTGTCCCCTGAGTCCTTTTGACATGACTATAGAAGTTTTTGATGGCTTCCTTGCTCTGTTATGATCAAATGTCAGGTCTATTATGAAAGTTTTCTGCCCCAGACCTTAAATGAGTCATTTTTCTAACCTGTTTCCTTGAGCAGAAAGTGGTTTTTCAAGAATACTATCTAGGTAATAGAGATGCCTACTGCTACTGATTGGCAAAAGTATTGTTTTAGAAAGATCACAAAAAGTGTTGATAAGATTTACTTACTATTTATGGCTGCAAATTTCCAACTGGCACTCTTCTCTTGTGAAGTTTACCACCCACTACGATGTCTTAGCAAATTTAACTTACTATTCTCAGAGAGGACAATTTTACATCTTCTTTCTCCTCACTCTTGCACACCTGTTCCTTTGTCACACTTTGTTGATAATCTAATCTTGAATTTCAAGAGAAGTAGATGCAGTACGGTAAAAACTACTTCATCATTCTAATATAAATTCCACTAACCCATCTGCATCTTTTTTTTTCCCCCATAACTTCTGCCTTCCCTCCTGTTATAAGAGAAGAAATTTTCCTACCATTATTAAGGCCATCCTCTTTGCTCAGGATCCTATCCCATCTCACCTTTTCAAAGGCTTCACTCCTGTAATTATTCCATCTCCATGCTGCATCACTGCTTTTTCTACTGGAGTTTTTGGCACAAAAACCTGTGCTATATTATCTATCTTTTCAAAACATTGGATTTTATCCCCTATTCTCCTCTGATTCATAGCAAATCCTTCAAAAGATTTGCATATTCTTATTGCCTCGGTTTTTTACCACCTATTCTCTTCTATCTGTCGATAAGGCTTTTCTTCCTCACTTCTCCAAAGACAACTCTTACTAAGTCACTGATGAGTCTCACCTCAGTGCAGACAAAGGTCAGCTCTCAACTCCCATCTTATTTGACGTCTTGACTGTGTTTGACATTGTTGGCTTTCCCTTTTGTGAAACACTTTCTTTTCTGGCTGCTGAGATACCACATTTGCCTAGGTTTCCTCCTAATCACCACCTGCTTCTTCTCAGGTTCCTTTGCTGCCTCCTCCTCCTCTTCATCTTCTTAACGTTGAACTGTTCCAGGGCTCTATATGCCTCTCTTCTCCAGTTATATTCACTGATGTAACTTAAGCACTCTCATGGTTGGTTGATTGTTTTTGAGACAGTGTCTTGCTCTGTCACCCAGGTTGGAGTGCAATGGCACAATCTTGGCTCACTGCAGCCTCTGCCTCCTGGGTTCAAGCTATTCTCCTGCCTCAGCCTCTCAAGTGGCTAGGATTACAGGAGCCTGCCACCACGCCCAGCTAATTTTTGTAGTTTTAGTAGACATGAGATGGGGTTTCACCATGTTGGCCAGGCTGGTCTTGAACTCCTGACCTCAAGTGATCCGCCTGCCTCAGCTTCCCAAAGTGTTGGGATTACAGGTGTGAGCTACTGCACTTGGCCTCTCATGGTTTTAAATATCATATTCATAATAGTGACTCTCAAACTTCTATCATCACCTTAGACTTCTCCTTGAGCTCCAAACTATAAATCTACCTACCTACTTAATTCTTTCTCATTATTCAATCTTCAGCTAAAATCTTGGCTCCTCAGATAACAGTAGTCAGTGCACTTCCACCCCAACATTTTTATTACCTTCATAATACTTAAAAATATCTGGAATTATTTATTTATATATTCAAATGTTAACTGTCTGTGTCTTCCCTGGCATCATCACCCAGCGTACACGTACACACAAAGCGGTAAGGTGCTTCAGTATACAGACTCTATTTTGCTTACATATGTAACCCCAATGCCTATAAGTGTGCTAGCAATTAGTATGTATCCAACAATATGTGCTGACTTCAGTGCTGAAAAATAAGCCTTTTATAATCAAATATTATAAAGCATAGAAAACATGAAATAAATCCAGACTTATACTGACTCATTAAGTAACCAAAAATTATGTCAGTGCTATAGGAAGATTACTGATGACTGTCTGATTCAACAAGAATATTAATGTACTAAGCTGACACTACATTTATATCTTTTCATGGTTTTCTTGCTGTTTCATGTGAATGTATTTTGTTTCTCAAAACGGATTAAAGTCCTTTATAAGGTATATATTTCTTTCGGATCCTTGTCATAGTACAATGTGAGCCTATAAAATCAGCAGGATCTCAATAAATAATTATAAAATTAAAGTATTTTTGGACTTTTTAAAGAAGGCGTTTTTGTTGAATTATTAAGATGTTCTTGGCAATACACTATTTTTTGTTTGTATAAATTTAGGGGGTACAAGTGCAATTTTGTTACATGCATAACTTGCACAGTGGTCAAGTCAGGGCTATTGGGGTATCCAATAATATTTCTCAGGAGCTTGCGAGTTAGCCAAGGTTTTCCAAGTAACACTGGTTTCAGAAAATACCATTTTTTAAAATAAGAGAGACAATGAATTACACTAAAATTAACACCAATTAAATGCCAATGTTTACTATATCTGAGTTCAGCTTCAGGAAGAGAGTCATTTGGCCACCTGTAATCTCTTGCACTGAGTAGAGATTCATTCATAGAAAGAATTATTACTTTTGAAGAGAGCTCAACAAATAAAGGACCTGTAATGTCCCACCAAAACCAAGCATTTTGGGAGAGCTATTTGAGTTATTTGCAAAAAAATCGAATGAGATACCCAAAAGTGTTTTGGTACAGAAATGACTCATACTTTCTGGTAGAGAGTTGGATATAAAACATTAATTTTCAACATATACATATATACAGCTGTAAAATAAAAATGCTTAAATAAGAAAGGTATTTATCAACATTTTTAAATGAATGGAATTAAAATGAATACCTTTTCACCATCCCTGCTATTCTTGATCAATTTAAAATGTTTAATTTTAAATATGCCAACTAAAAATACTCATATTTTCACTCTTATTTCATGTTAGAACTAAGACAATTTTATAATATGAACTCCTTTTTCATATATACAGTTAAAACTTGTCTCATAACCTCTTCCTTCAAAACAGATTTGGGAGATGAGATAATATTTTTACTTCTTCATGTTATCTCAGATAATATCCCTAAAAGTTTGTTTCAAATCAAGATAAAATTCACCTTTTTATAACATGCAACCTTCTACTGTAATCAAACTTGTCTTTCATTTTGGAAATAAGTTTGCGACCCTGATCCTAGATCAGTATAGGAAGTAATTATTCTGAAATTTTCTTAATAACCCTCTGTTCCATTACAGAAGCTTTTACTATCTTTCGAGATAAGAAAAGTAAACCCCACATTTTTCACAAAATATGAGTATGCATTAGTGAGCCCATCAAGTTAACCCAGTACTGAGTTATATACCAAAGGTCTAGATTGACAGAAAAAGAAGTACTAAAAAAAGCTAACTTCAAGTAAAATGTAGGTCTAAAGATCAGGAAAT